CACGTACCGCCGGCTGCTGGACGGGGAGGACAGCGGGTGAGCACACACGGAGCTCGGCGCGTCCCTCTGGGCATCTGACACACTCCAGCTGCTTTGGGGTGGGGAAGGCCATGGCCCAGTTCTCAGCTGCAGCATCAGAGCAGGCTGCAGGTCAGGCTGGGCTGCTGAAGCTGCTCTGGAACTTTGAGGTGGCTCTCTTAGCCTACAGATGATCACTCTGTGACCTGGGTACATGTTCACACTTCAGTCTTGGATCGACTTGTCCACGACTGAAAGTGGGGCAAGCAGAGGGTGGATGTTCCCCCAGATTCTGCCCATTCAGTTGTTCAGGTTCAGGAGCCAGACTGAGCATGAGCTGAAGCCACGGCACTGTAGAGATGAGTCTGCAGGTCAATGGCACCTGCAGCTTCATAGAATCATAGAATTTAGGGGTTGGAATGGACCTGACAGATCATCCAGCCCCAACCCCTGCCCTGGGCAGGGACATCTCCTCACTAGATCAGGTTGCTCAAGGCTCATCCAGCCTGGATTGAACACCACCACGGTCAGGGCACTCACCATATCCCTGGGCAACCTGTGCCAGTGTCTCACCACCCTCACAGGAAAGAACTTTTTCCTCACATCCAACCTAGACTTTCCCTCCTTCAGTTTGAACCCATTGCCCCTTGTCCTGTCACTGCAGTTCCTAACACAGAGTCCCTCTCCAGCTCCTTGTAGCCCCTTCAGATACTGAAAAGTTGCTCTGAGTTCTCCACACAGTCTTCTCTTGTGCTTCAAGGTTTTACCTTGACAGAGATAACTCATGCAAACGAGTGTCTCCTGGTTAAAAGTCTGGATGAAAGGGCATTATCTTCCCTGGGAAATGTACAAGGATGTTTCTTCAGTACATTAGGTGCCATATATTTATGTTTTCTAATTTACAATTTGAACAGGCAATTTCAATTGGAAGTAGCGAAAGAAGAGACTGAAAAAGGTATGTGCCATCACCCTATTTCTGTTTTGGTGTTGCCTGCTGGAATGTTATGGAATGAAGTAGCCTAAAAACAACAGCTTCAGAGCAAACAGTCAGTCAGTAGGCTCTCACACCAAGAAAGCAATCAGCTGTATGAAAGTTACCCTACAGGAACTGTACAAATCCTAGGCTGATGTACACAATTCAGGTGCCCAAAGTGAAACCAGACTCACCTTACCCATTCTGTGATTCTGTGACTCCTCACAGAGCAAGAGAATGACAGAGAGTTACTGAATTCCCCCCCCGAGGGACTCAAGAAGGATCTACCTCTCCCCTCCGGCTGCACAGGGAGGCTGAGGCTCCCAAATAACATGAAAAATATCCCTTTCAATGTTAGACTATTGCAATGTTTGAGGTGTGTAAGTTTGTGCTAAACTGAAGCAAAACTGTGAGGATGGATAGAAAGTTATTGTGTCCACTATAGCCTATGGGTAACATACTGAATGTCCAAAGGAAGAGAAACCAAATCCTGCACACCCTGAAAGTTTCCCTCAGGTATCTGTAGATTGAAAAGTTCTTGTTGGCTATTTCCTCACTGGCTGCTAGTACTGCAGCAATTCTGCCCTGCCAGTGCACACTGCACTGAACTAATTCTCTGATCCATTTCCTCACCAGAATCAAGCAAAAGCAGGAAGATCAAGACAATAGTTGAGGAGGTGGTTGATGGCAAGATTGTCTCCTCTGAGGTCCAAGAGTTTGAAGAGAAGATCTAAATGGCACTAGCAGAGACACCTCTGAGCTTCCCGAAGCTGATGCCAAAACAGATTAAACTTTATAAATAAACAGATCTCACTCTCCCTAAACCCCAGAAGTGTTGAAAAATGCCAAATTACCAAAGCTCAAGCAATTGTTGCTGTTGGGGGGGAGTGTTAATAAAAAATAGTAAGTTCCAAAGTGCAAGAGTTTGGGTTTACTTGCAGAGTGACTAAATACCTCAAGGCAAAAAAATCAAATCAACCTGGTATAAATGTAGAATTGCTTCCAAGACAGATAAACCTGCAGTATTGGTTGCTTAAAAGGCAGTAAACACCAGTTCAGTGCACCTTTCCTGAACCTTCACTCCCACTCAAACCTGTGCAGCTTCACTTCACTGGAACCTGATTTTCACAGAACGAAGAAGTGTCAATTTGCTTTCCACAAATTAAAATGAATATATAAAGTGCAGAAGCCTATTGGTTATTTTTCTCTCTCTGTGAATGATTATGTCACCAGGGACTGGTGATCATGTCACCAGGGACTTTGGACAAGAGGCTCCCCATGAGCTGCAGTGTGAGCTCAGCCCAGGAAGCCAATCAAATCCTGGGCTGCAGCCAAAGGAATGTGGGCAGCAGGTCAAAAGAGGTGATTCTTCCCCTCTGCTCTGCTCTGGTGAGACCCACCTGGAATCCTGCACACAGCTCTGGTGTCCTCAACACAAGAAGGATTTGGAACTCTTGGAGCAAGTCCAGAGAGGGCCATGAATTTGCTAAGAGGACTGGAGCACCTCTCCTGTGAAGACAGGGGGGCTCTCAGTTCAGGAAAGACATTGAGGTGC